CTTACCAGCAAGAAGTTAGAAATACTTCAAAATAACTTCAGTCAGGAGTTGCTGGAATTTTGTGGTATAGTTTACATGTTGATATAGTGAATGTTAGTAAATAGACTGCTCTGAAGCAGATTTCTACAACAACTGACTTTGCCAGCCAACTCACTTAATTTTGGTGCCAACCAATGAATACAAATATCTGGATAAAAGACATCCACTTTGTAAGGTCATCTGATCGCATCAAAGAGATCTTTGAAGTCTTTTATCTAAATGACCCAGAATTCAGAGATGTTTCTTTCATAAAAATAAACTCTCTTAACACCTGTAAGTGAAGGATCTGTGGATACAAATTGCATTTCAACACTAATTTTATGATCTGTAAAACCATTTTCTCAATGTAAATGGTATTAATCTGAGCAGGAAGAGACTTGCTTTCATTTGATGTACTATGTGCACCATTTGATGTACTATGTGCATCAATCATTGTAATTATATTGAAACTATATGACTTGAACTTAGAAAAATGGTGGAAACATTTCTGCACAAAATAAGGAGAAGAGTGGCCCCATGGTGGAAACAAAATTAAAACAACTGATCTAACGTGATTCATGTGTCAACCAACCCTGTTCTTCTGTAAGAAGTCATTCTTTAAAAGTATAACAAACCTTCATTAGAGCTTTACAGAAATGAGTTAACTGGCCTAATGGCTGAAACAATTTTTTTTCTTATCAAAAGAGATTGAAGAAAAAAATTGTCAGCAGAATATTTTAAATGTGTAAAAGCAAACATGTATATTTTACTGGATTAAGCTCCTTCCTAGGCAACAGGAAATGTTTTGCTAGGATTAAAACTAGAGAAAAATGTTTTATTGGCTGGAATGATGATTTGTCAGTTAACTTTGTGAAAGTATCAAATTAATAAGGCAATTGAGTGACAACATTGTTTGAAGATATTTTATGAGGGTGTGTTTAAATTTAATAATATTATAGGTGATATCCTAAATAATCTCTTAATTGATAAACATCAATTAACTGACATTAGTAATAGTAATGGGTATTGTTCCAATTCTTCTCACAAAATGTTAAAAATTCTTAATATGACAAGAGGCACTAAAGGTTAAGTAGGATAACTTTTGGTTACAGTAAAGATAATATCTGAACATAACCTCTCATTATTAGAGAACTATTGATGAATAAATATATTTCTCTGACTCCAATGAATACAAATAAAAAAATGTGTATTTAAGGAGAGATTACAAGAAGATTTAAAATTCAACAATAACAATTATTAAAATTAATGAATGTAGTATTTATGAACAAGTCTTTAGAAAACTATTGTGGGTTATCACACTTGACTTTGCCAGAAATGGTCATTGGGAAAGTGCTCTTTAAGCCTATAAAAATGCAAACATATCCTTTCTCTTTCTCTTTTTCCTCTTGCTTCCAGATGTAGTCAAACATAGATGAAGAATGCTGCCACAGGAGCACGTTTGCTTCCTTGGTTCTCTGTTGACTTTTGAAGTCTCTCACACATGCACATACAAACATGTGTCAACTACACACCTTTATTTCACACATACACAAACAAGCATATTCTTATAGCTAGTTTCAATGTCATTTCCTTTCATTTCAATTGTGTACAGATACAAATAATTTTCTTAATACATGCATTAATCGCCATTTATTTAAAATTCATTGTTTTGTGTTTCTTAATTTTACCTGAACTCACATGAGTCCACCAATTTCATTTGTAGGGCAAATGTTTCAGTTGCTCATAAATATTTACTGTAAAACAGTTACACCTCTCATATCCAAAGTGTTGTTTCCCCATAACAAAGTGGTGACTCATTTTTAGCCGAACATCATTAAATCCTACAAAGCTATATATGGAAAATATAAAATCAAATGTTTAGTAAAATTTCTATTTGAAAGTAATGTATCAGTTACTTTTTAAAGACAAGATTTGAAACAGTGAACAATATTTCAATATAATTCCTTCATAAGAAGAATTGTCAAATATTTAACTTCTTAGTTATAAATGCACAAGACTAATATATTTTGGGTTTTTTTTTTTATAGAATATCATTTTTTTCAAACAAAACGCTCAAAAACAGGGTGCGATGGATAAATTGTCATCTAAATTGTGCAAAAATAAAAATAACACTGACATCTCATTTTAACAGATATATTTCCCAAAATTACACAAAAATATCTTGAAATACTAAAGAGTAAATTTATTCAATAAAATTCCCATTGACCTAAAACTTCAGCCTCCAGATGACTTTGGAATATCCTGCAACTCCACTGGATAGTCTTCTTGTTTAAGTTGGTGAATGCTGCTATCATACTTGCCTTCAGTCGATCATTGGTGTTACAAGAAGTTTTGTTGGTCTATCGCTCAACTGTGTCCCACACATAATAATCAAGGTGGTTGCAGTCTGGGGAGTTAGGTGGCCAGATGTAAGTGGTTGCAAAAATTGTCTGACAGCCATGAGTGGGTTTTCCTGCTTGTGTGGCATGGTGCAGAGTCCTATTGCCAGATATAGGGTCTTCCAGCATCTACCCTCTTGACCCAGGGCAGCACTACCTCTTCAAGGCACTTGATGTAGGCCTCTGTGTTGAGTATGAAGCTTCCACCAACAAAATCAGCAGTTCTTTTTTATCAGAATGATCAGAGTGAGTTTTCCGGGCTGCCGTAGCTTTGTAATCATCATTAGACTGATTTAACTTTTTCCAAATCCTTTGCACTGTCCTCAGATTGAAACCCAGACACTCTGAAATGTTTGTATTGGAGTATCTGGCATGAATATCAAGCAGTACAGCATGACATTTCCAAATTTCTGGCAGTGTGAATTGTGTCATGGTGCTCTTTTTCTCAAGGACAGTGCCCAACTGACCCTACTATACTGTGCAGTTGACAAAATCAAAAACAAACAATGCACATGTGCAAAATTAAAAACAGCAACAATTTATCCACCGTACGCTGTAGGTGTATATGCGTGAAGGTACAAAACTTCTTTAGTCATCAAAAGTGTCATCTTTCAATGTCAAAAACAAAGCATTTTGTTTTTGGTGTGACTCTGCCTTAAATGCCAAAGACATCAATATAGTTGTAGACATTAAGACTCCAGTGTTATTTTTGTCAGTATAAATTACATTTTTATGTTTCTTTTTTAATTTCAATTGTGTTATGCAAATAAATTATACAACCCACAAACTTGAAACATGAAAAAACTTGTCTTAATAATAGTTTTTATTAGTAAATAAATTTGAAAACTTTTGTTGTAATATTTAAAATATCATGAACAAAAATACAGTGAATGTAAGGTCACAACAGATGTGAAAGTAGAAGACCACCATCATAGTCCTGTTTATTGAAGATGACTACTAAAGTGTTTCTGAGCTTTCAATTCCATAAGAAGAAAGCATCCATTGAAGTAAAGGATTTAAAATGTGAAGAGTGATCTGTATAAAAATATAGTACAATACAAATAATAAGACATGTATCTGGAAAAATCACTGTTATTTGCAAAATTTTTTTAAAGTAATATAAACTTTCAAAAAAAGGAAAAGATTTATTCTTATAATCCAAAATATATTACAGCTTTAAATAACCTGCAAAGTGTTGATAAGCCATAAAAAATAATCAACTTTCCAATGGGAATTTTATCTTTGGTTAAAAAAAATACTCAAAGTGGAGGCACAAATCTGGCTGACAAATGTGGGTAATGCAATATTTTGTCAAAAATAAATAAATGAACCTGCATAAGATATGAAGAATGCACAGTCAGTATATTCAAAATGGATGGATAATTTCCAGAATGCCATAGAATCTCCAGATCTTCTAATTCTTACATTGTCATTTACCAATTTTCTTTGATTGCTTTCGGCAACTTTTAGCTTTTTTTTTTTCAACATTTTTAGATGTTTTGCTTATTGAAGATTTCCAAAAATGTGTATCAATTTCAATGGATTCTTAGTCAAGTTTGATGTGTCAGTAATAGGATTTTATCTTGTCATTGATCATTAAGTCTTCCTGAAAAATTTCATGTGAAGTTTCCATGGATGAGCTTGATATATATTCACTTATCTACTGATTCAGTTATTATGAATTAGACCATCACACAGTCTTACTCCATAGTGTCTCACTTCCAACTGAGTAACTCTATGATACTATGGACACCCATATAGAAAGATAAAAGGTGGTTTTATCTTGATTCCAGCTGTTTCTGTTTGATAGACCAGCAGATGGTTTCTTTTGAAGTTCAGTCTTCTAAGCAGTATCCACTTTAACCAAAGAAAAATGGGAAGTAAAGGAGTGGATGAGGAGTTTTCGGAGATCAAGTAGCAACAAAACTGGAAATAGAGTATATCCTGATGCTGGTATAGATTAACAGTCATGTTTGGGATTGGGAGAAAGTACTGGTCCATTCTTGGCAGGAGATGGATGTCCTGAAATGTGCTGATCTGTATTGCCAGTCACCATGTTGGGATGACGAGTTGGTAAGAGGAAGAGCTGATATAGCAGATGTTGTCCCAAGTAACATTTACCTACTCACCCGGATGAGTAGGGGAAACTTTGAATAAAACTTATACATATAATATGGGAAACAGAATTCATATTCTTATTTCTTGATGTCACATTTATCTTTCATGTTAACACATAAGCATACAGTATGTCCAGCTTTTGGCACATATTGATGAGATTGAGAATTGGAATGCAATGTCAGGTAATCATTGGTCAGTTGGTGGAAATCTTGGGTGACATCTATATGTTTACAACTCATTGGGTGATTGTTTATTCATACATGTGCAATAATGTTCCTTTGATTTGTTGTCAAATTAAATCAAATCTATGCCACTGATTATCAAGGTATTAAAATACCTAGAGAATTTCCAAACATATATCCTATTAATCATGGTATCATTCTCAAAGTTTTTGTTTTTTGGTTTTGTCACATGAGTTGATCTATTTCATATATGTAATATCTCATGTTCAAATACTTAAAAAACATTGAGGCACTGGTTCTCGTAAGATCATCGAAGTTAAGCAACATTGAGGCTGGTCAATACTTAGATGGGTGACTGCTTGAGAATACCAAGTGAAGCTTGGATGTGTGAGTAGTGTGAGAGATAATGACTTGGAATTGGAACTCAGCTCTCTGAGTTCCAATTCCAGTCAGGTTATTTATATTCACTTGTGTGCACATACCCTTCAGAAATGTATGAATTCACCCCTTCTCTCCTCTCAGATATGGGTTAATTAGTAGCACTTGTATCAGTAAAAATCATTATTATCTTCAAAAATTAATACAATCTAAAAATGTTTTCTGGCTTTAAATAACCTGCAAAAGGTTGAAAAACCATAAAAAATCAATTAATGAAAAAATTGAACCTTTGTTTAGGTAGCAGTTGGCTCTATCTGATAAACTTGATATAGATTGATAGGTATCAATAGATTAATGTTAGAGACTCCGATCCTTACTGAGTGTTCCACAGTTGGGCTAGACAAAGGTAAATTTAGTAAATAATGATTAGACATGCTAGTGATTATGTTGGTATCAGTTATAATGTAGTTCAGTGATAATATGATGATGTGACGTTATGATGACTGACAAATCCAAGTCATCTTGTCTCATATTCAGGAAATGACAAGAAAGACAGGTGAAAAAAATTAACAAGAACAATAATTCATTTCTAGTTAGTGCAATCTGAACTAATGTGTGTTGGAAGATTGGGGTTCAGTTGTAAAACTTTCATGATAAGTGCATATAAAATATTGGTTGGAGTTTACCTAGGGTAGTGTTTTTTTCTTCTTTTCAATATATTGATGTAGTCTTGGGAAAACTTCAGAATCATATTTAATGTGTGTTCTTTAGAAGCCCAGTAACATAATGGATAATGGCTTAGATTGAGGAATTGGAGAGTCAAGTTCATTAAATTCACCTATGTACTAATACCTTTGGGAAAGGTATGAATCCATTTCTTCTCTTCCAATTAAATAGCAGGGGACAGACTGGATCTTATAGCTTTGGCTGGAGAATAGTCTAAGAGAAGAAAAACTCTGACTTCAAACCAGCCTGGTGAGTGTTGTGCTCTGTTAGGCTATCTTGCCTAAGACATATCACTGCTACTGCAGTACATGTGATAACCCTATGACCCTAATGGGTTACAGGACTCATGATCTGTGTACAGAGATATACATGCTGGTCAATTGTCTTTCTAATGAAACTGGAACATACATACTTTTATATAAGGAATCATAAAAGTCTCAGTGTACTGATGATGAGGGAGCTATACTGATGACATAGGTATTTATAGTTGGGATAAGAATGATCTTGACCAGAAAATCAACATCCTCAACCAAGGGTTTCAAGAAATAGGACTCAAGATAAACATTTCTAAAACAGAAACTATGATATGGAATTGGAATGAAAGTGATGGCATATACCCTCAATCCATCATAAAAATTCAGCATCTAGAACTAGTAAATATTAAACTCTTTAGATACCTTGATGTGTGAATCAGTTATAACGAATTTAATGTAGGAGAAAAGGAAATTGAACATAAAATAGGCTGCACTAATGGTAGTTTTGCCCAACACCATAAATTGCTATGAAACCAAAACATTAATCTAAAAACTTGAGCCATGTCTTTAAATAGCCTTATCTGATAGAGACTTTCATGTGGATGCCATGCATGGTTCTAAACCTATTCAGAAATATCTAAATTGTCAGCATTTTAAGATCAATGGTTAAAAATGACTTTGAACAAGTGAAGCCTGCAGGTCTTGGCAAAGAACATCCTTCTTTGAATGCTGTAGAGTCGCACTAGAGAATCACAAAGAAATGTACCATAAGAACCACTTGAGTATTATCAACAGCAGCAGCATCAACTAAAATGGATAGTACATGTAACCCAAAGAGAAAATAATAACATAAGATGTTAACCTTCCAAAATAAATAAAAGGTTACGAAAGAAACTCCCATCAGTACTGGAAAGAGCAATATCAACTACTGGATTGCAAAACCTATTTTCCTGAAAAATCATTTTACTACAGACATTTTATAAATTTCAGCCAATGGCAGTACTAGCTGATTGGTCATCGAATGCCAAATGTTTCCTTGTAGAAAAATGGCTATGTTACCATTAGCATACCATATATTTAGAGAAAACAAGCAATGAAAGCTATATGATTGGATTCGAGTTTCCTTTTCTGGTTATTTTTGTAGCCAAATTGGTAAGGTAGCTGTTGTGCTAAGATTTTCTAAGGAAAAAAAGATATGAGTTTGAATTTTATCAGATATTTATTCCTTATGTAAAATGATGGTCTGAGAAGAAAAGCAACTGAAGTTAAAATGAAAGCAACGAGTTACAAATTAATAATAATTATCTGGAAGTGTTCAAAACATAGCTTTTACTTAAATTTAGTCTGTGCATTAAAAATAGACACAAAACTATAATTTCTAGACTTATACTAATGATCCAAAAATCTATGATATCTATTCAACAAAAATATTTGAAAATATTGTTATTCCATTTATGGGTGTCTGCATGTTGAAGGTGGGATTTGTGTGCTGAATTCAAATTCCAGCTGAGGCTGCTGCATTCACTTTCATGCAAATACTGTGGAAACATATGAATCTATCCCTTACCCCCAATTAGTGGTCAGTAGCAGGGCAGACTGAGCTATCTAACCTTAGTTAGCAACCAGGTCTAAAGAAGGACAGTTCTTAATTCAAAACCGGTTAGGCACTAGGCTAGCCATTTTGCTCTATAAAAACCTACTTACTAGAGGAACCACAACAGCAATGCCTAATACAGTGAGGCTATTGCTCTATACTAAACAGATGAATCTACAGGAATATACATATTGTATTTCTGATGTATTGGAAGCATAAAGCAAGCAGATTATCCTATCCTTCTTTCCCTACAGAAAAGTTGCTGGGCTTTGACAAATCTGCCTGAACTCTGAAATTTTATACTGTAATTATTATTTTTTCCTCCCCCAATAGAAGTACATAGACTGGTTCATACTCCTACTGAGACTTTTGAACAGGAGTAAAGGTTTATTCCTGGTTCCCTATTTAGGATTGGGTTTCTGGCCCCTTCTAAAGTCTACTCCAACCCTATGCATCTAACGTCTCCATTAACGTTATTCACTAATTAAATCGTGACCTCTTCAAATCTAGAATGAGCTCTTATCTTTCCTGTATAGGCCCGAGAACTTCACTTCTTGCCCTACAAAATAACCCTCTACCTTGAGTGGCTCTAGAGCCCTGTGTTTGGTGAACATTAGTAAAATAAAAATTATAAAATCAATTATTTCTTTATTATTTTCCAATAAAAACAGAAATGGTTATTATAACATGATACAAAGTTATGGTTGATCTTGTTCAATGATAATAAAGTGATTTGTGATTCACTCTTTTTAAAAAATGCCTTTCTTATGCCTTTAACTACTTATCAACAAGTAATTGGATATTTCTAAAGTGGAAATGTTAAAAGCTGTCTCTTGCAGGGAAAGACCAAGGTGTCACCTGATCTTTCTTTCCATTTTATGCCCAATACTAAAGAGAACATTATATATAACTTGACAACAACACGCAAAAATGAGATCCTGTGAAAAGCCTTTTAGTTTAGTTTACATACATTTAGTATGGGAATGGGTATGTTATATGTTTTCACCAGTGTGCTCTCATCATTGAAATGGCTGGCAATTGAACAGAGTACAGAAAAAAATTTATCCATAACTTTTTCAAAGAATATTTGTTTCAAAGTAATAGCATCAAGGAGCAAAATTGAAACTTTGCTTCTTTCCTTTACTTGGTTGTTATAAAATGCAGCATTTCTGCTCCCATATGCCAGTTACTTAACAAATTAATTCTTGCTGATCCATTTTAGGGATGGTGAGTATTAATGGATTAAGGTAGAAACCTATAATTAATACCAGGTTTCTTTTTATAAACTTATAATTAATTCTGGATTTTTATTTTAATTTTTATAATTAATACTGAATTTTATGGTGAGCATTAATGGGTTATAATATCATGACTTTAAAAACTTGAAATCAATCAATATGGTAAAAAATTCCATAACTCTTGTCAAACTTATACACTCTAATCTGTTTTTTATTCAAAAAAGTTCAAAAAGTTCTCATCATATAGTAAACTTGAAAGGTTACAAATCACCCTATGTACAGTTTACTTGTTGTACAGGTTGTAAGTTGGCAGGATGCTTTCATGTTGCATAAATTAATACTACTAACTATACACTGATTTGTTTTGACTAATGTCTTCATCTTGGTAATCATCATCATCATAACATTTCAGCTGTTGTACTATCCAGCTTTTTTCAGGTGTTTGTTTTAGTTGGTAACCATCTGGGGAAACTGAACCCTTTATTCAATCCACAGGAATAGATTCTTTTCACTCTGCTGTCTATATGAGAAGAAATTTTGTATCTGTTAATTCTAGTTAGTTTTCTCTAGTAATATAATTTGTCTCTTCTACTGAACTAGAGTATGTAACCTTTTTGCATTACTCAAAGCAGGGATTGATTACATAACTCCGAGATAACTCAGTTTGTTTAATTAACAATTTTATTCACTCGGCCATATGTCCCAAAAGGCTATTATCAGCGACATGTGAAGAAAACTAGAAGTTACAATGGTTGAGACATTGTGATGATAACAACCAAGATGAAGATACTAGTCTGAACCAATTAATATATAATTATAATAATTCCTCAACTAAAACATTCAGAAAATAATACTACTAATAATTTGAATATCTAAGATGTCAGCTCTTAACTGTTACTGTGGTAAAGCCCATGAAAACATTATTAATACAAATATAAAATTTGTCCCATAGCTGATGATTGGTGTTACCTTCAGCATCCTAACTCTAGTGTTTTGTAGATGGGTCCTCCAGCAATCACTTCGTCCACTCGTCAGGGAACATCATCTATTATTGAATATTATTAAATGTATAAATATACAATCTACTTTGGAATGCATATATTATTTATAAATATTTATGTCCATAAAAGTGCACATGCACATTTATATGATTATTAAATGTGTAAACAGAAATGATACAAGCATTTA